CTCCACTGCCTGATTTTAGTTTACTAAAGTGCACAGTTTTCTTGCCCACATTTCTCATCTCATCTGTCTGCTGCAGAAATGAAAGGAAAAATCAGAAGGTCGGTGTTTTAGTGAGGAACTTCCCGAATGCCTCTTTTTTCTTGCTGAAATACTGGCTTGTAACTTCTTATAGTCGTGAGATATATTCAGGAGTCTTAGCATTTGCAGGCCAGAAGACTGGGAAGCTGCACGAGTGCCTGAAGTTCTCTTTAGCTGTAGGTGAAATTTGTATGTCTTGAGCCCGCAATACTCCAGGATTCCCTCTTTCTTCTGCAATGTGTCCAACTGGATTTTACATTTGTGTAGTGCCTCACGTGAAGCATCAGGATTCCCGCCGGAATTGCTTCTGGACAAGGGAAATCAATCCAGTTCTGGGCAGGACGTTGTAACAGAAACCCGTGGTAGGTTATTTAGCAGGGAGCAGCAAGGTGAGCTCCATGTCCACTCATGGCTGCAGGTAACACGTGGAGAGCAATGATTATGGTAATTTATCCACAACGCTGTGGGCATTCTTTAAATCCTGCAAATGATGAACATGATTTTAACAGCTTCTTTGTCTCCTCTCCCTTATGCAGCCATTTGTGCAAAACATTTTCCACCAGCTCTTTACCCGTAAGAGAAAAGATCTCCTAGTATCTTGCCAGTTAAGCCAACTGCAGCATCACGGGTTTTCCCAGAAACTTTTTATCACGGCTAGGTCTTATTTGGAAAACACCAGCCAGGCTCGTGCTTTGCATGCTTGGGATAGCATGGGATAAAGGCTTGGACTTGTAGGACATCTCTGGGAGAGGTAGAGAACTGTTGAGCCGAGTCTGTGCCGCTCTGGAGGAGCTGCCTGCGGAAAACAGGAACCATCCTTATGGAGACCGTGGCATGGTTTGGGTGTCTGCGTGTCTTTTCACCCCATCCCCAGCAAGGAGACCATGCCTGGAAAAGCCTGGCTGACCAAGAAACCCTAAAGATATTTGGGATGAGTGTGGTACGTGTTCTGGAGCAGAGCCGTGTGGCTTTGTGGTCTGTATCCCAACCCCTTGTCACTGAGGATACCCCCAGACTTTGGAGAATGTCCTGCTGCGCTCCAGCCCCTTCCACTCTGGTGGAGACAGCTCATTCGTTACAGACGGTCTTGCATCTGGTCTCTTGATTAATGGACTTGTCTTTTGCAGCCTATTTTGACTCTGACACTGCTTTCTGCTCCACAGATGCTTTGCTGATGTTGAAGAAAGTTTGCCTTGCTTGATAAAGACCAGATCCTGAAATTTACTTCCAAACCTGAAGTAACAATTTTTAACTTGAAATGGTTTTTCCCCAGGAGTCGCCGCTCCAGAATCCTTCCCTTATTTGGTGCCTCCTTCACAGCTGGGGCTGATGCTCAGGTGCCAAAGCTCTGTGCGCTCGTCGCCCCGAGCCAAATGGACGCGCGCGGGGTCCAAGCGCGGCAGCTCCGCTGGGGCCGGCCCTGCTGGTGCCGCTGCTGTGCGCCCTGGTGGGCTTCCCTGTGTCATGGTACGGCGTTTTCAGCCCATTTTGGCCAACGTGCAGTCCCTCAAGGTTGGGTCTCGCTTTCTTTTCTGGCTCCAGACCCGGCAAACCTTCCCCGGTGCCGTCCGCCTGCCCCGTTCCGTGTGTCAGGGCCTCCTCCCCGCGGCCTCCCTCGGATCAGAGCCGGCTGCTCCGGCACCGTCGCCATCCCCGCTCGGCCTCACCGTGAGCGCTTGTTAGTCACTGTTGACTCCTTCCATGGTAACGAATCCCGTTGGGGTGACGGTGCGAGCGCTCCCCGCGCAGCGGCGAGCCGCTTCCTCTGCTGAGGTTGCCTCTTCCCAGGTGGATTTAGTCTGTCTGCACTTGCTGACTCATGACAGCCGAAACAGCTGTTTTCAGCTCCAGGCACTACTGTGTGCAGGGACCCCTTCTTCTTCTTGACAGCTGGTTTGTTTTTATAACTAATGCCTTCACTACGCGCTCATATCGGTGATGCCCGCCTTGCGACCGGGAGCGCCCAGGGCCCTGCCGTGACACGGCCCCGTGGCTGGAGCACCCTGGCTTGGTGGGCTCTTCCCTACCAGAAGACAAGATCCCCACTGGCGCTGCCGGACTTGATGCCGCACGCGGGGGATCGGCCTGCGGATCAACCTTCCAGGTGCTGCTCTCAGGAAGCCTCTGCAGGGACCCTCCGTCGGAGGCTCCGAGCGGAGCGGAGGAGCTGCGGTCCCGTCGATGGGCAGGTTAGCAGGGCTTTGGGGAAGAGCTCAATGCCCCCGTGTGAACGCACAGGAGCAGGTGCCGGCGCTTCCTCCCCGGCGCGGTGGAAGCCGCCGTTTCCCTTGCGCTCGGCGGCAGGAGCAGGGAGGGCTCCCAGCGCCCGGTGGCAGGTGAGTCACTGCGGGCAGAGTCATTCAGAGAGCGGCCCCAGTCAAAGCGACCCGTGGCCTTAGCGTGAACTCGGAGATGAAAGGTCCAAAGGGAGGCGATGAGCTCATCAAAACCTTGAGGCTGTGGGAGAAAAAGTGGTGAAAAAAGCCCAGAGGTGCCTGCCTGAGATGCCCCAGCTCTGGGGCTCACGGGCCTCTGCCCGGGCTTGCTGGGCTCGTGCTGAAGCTGGCAAGTGAGAAACACGCTTCTTCCCTGCGGGCAGGGATCCTATCCTCATCCCTGCTTCCTTGTTTATCTATTTATTTATTTATTTTAAGGTGTGCACATGTGTATCCCTGTGGATCGCCGGTTTCGCGCCGTGCGGCTGGTTTGCCCCCGGGCCCGGAGGTGGAAAAGGCAGCGGGTGAAACCCCACGCTGGTGAAGATGGGGATGAAGCCGGGCGCCGCTGTGGGAACGCGCGGCCTCGTGCTTCCCCGCGCCGTGCGGGTGTCACTTTCCATTCGAGGCGGGGAGTTTTGGTACTCCCCGGCTGCCAGGAAGGCGGTGGCGAGGCCGCGCGCCCGGCGGGGCTGCGAGAAGGCGCCGCTGCCCTGTCCTACTTGCTGCTTCCCTCGTGCACGGCCTCATGGCAGAGGTAGGTCGAGCTGCAGCCACCTCGTGTCGACGGGGAACATCTCCTGAATACGTCCCTGTCACAGCGCAGGGCTCAGGGACTCTCTTTGCCAGCCCTTGCAGCGTGGTCTCGCTGTGGGAAAGGTCCCCTTGGGCTCGGTGTGAGCTGCGAGCTCAGAGCTGGTGGCCTTTGCCGCCCTGCCATAGCAGCCACATCTGTGTCAGGGCATGTGACAAGTGCTGGAGCCACCAAGCTGGTCACAAACGAGTTTTTTTTTTGTTTGTTTCCCACAAGCTGTTGCGTGGGGAAACAACGAAAAAAAAAAGTGTTAACGGTTTCAAGCTTTGGGTTTTCTTGGTGTCTTAAGGAGGCTGGGGGAGAAGCAGCTGCCCAGGCTGCACTGGGTAAGTGACTTAGGGCCCTCGCTTTGCCCTGCTGTCCCCGTGTTCCCCAGTCTCTTCTGGGTTTTCTCTGCAGAGTTAATAAAATGGTAGCAAAGAAAGTCGCGTTCCAGTGCAAAGGGCTCTTCAGGGCAGCCGTAAAAGCGTGAGTAAGCAAGAACCCCTGGCTGGGGGGCCAGTTTAATTGGTCTGGCTTGTTTTATGAGACAGGTTTTATGTTGAAACTCGCACACGGCCCAGGAGCGACGCTGCGGCAGCGCGTCGTCCTCCCGCGCGGTCCCGGGAGGATCCAGCCCGGGTTAGTTGCACCTAACGGAGCGGTCACACCTCGCCGAGCCGCGTGCATAAGCAGCAGCACGAGCTGAGGCGGGAGGAAGCAAATGGCCCTCGTCGCTGTCCTTGCCTGCTGGTGGCCTCCTGTCACAGGGGCGAGGGGACAGGGCCTTGGCGAGGGGACGTCCCTGCCTGGGGACGTTGGGCGCTTCCTCTGTCTGTGCCTCAGCTTCCCCCCGTGGACAGCAGCGCCGCCGGCCTTCCCGGGGCAGCCGCGCTGCAGCGCTCGGCCCGGGTCACTGCTGGCCGTTGTCCCCTGTGTGGTGCTCGGGGCTGTTGGGGTGGCACCGAGGGGGCCTTGCCCGGGCCCGCGGGTGCTCGGGGGGTGCCTTGTGCCCGCGGAGGCAGCAGGGGACAGTGCCATGTCACCGTGACAGCTCTGTGGCCCAGCAAAGTGGCATTTACCCGCCCGCAGCCATCAAAGCGGTGCAGAGAAGCGGGCAAGCCTGGAGCACTGCTGGGCTAGCAGAGGTGATGCAGAGAGGTAGAGTCTGACTCACGTCAGATTTTGGCGGTGGTGGAGCAGAGCGGGCCGGGAGGCTCTGCCCGTGCTCCGTGGGCAGCCGCCTGCGGGTGCCCTTGGCTCCGCGTTGCAGGATGGATGCGATCGAAAGGCCAAGTCCTGCCCCAGCCTCGGCACTGCAGGGCGCTGCAGGCTTTCCAGGGAAGAAAACCCAAGATTTTCTGGTAAAAGCAAGCCCAACTTCCCTCTCCTTGGTTGCTTGAGGCTAGAGGTAAACAAGGTAGGGCAGCGTCCAAGCCTCCCTTGCTCCTGAGAGCAGCGCACGGCACAAACGCGCATCCCCAAGGCGCTCCGTTTTCCACACAAAACAGTTAACGGGGCCGTCGCCGAGCAGGGCTGCTCCCAGCCGCAGAGACTCCGCTCTGGGTTTTTCTGCAGCGTTTTCTTCCCTATCCGCGAGCAGGAAGCGGCCCGGGCTCCCGGCGCGGCGGGAACCGGCGCTGGGTGCCCGCGGGCCGCGCGGCCCCGGCAGAGGGTGCTGTGTCTCCACCGCCCGCCCGCGCGCTCCAGCTGTTTGGCACTTGCCCGGCCCCGCGCGCATGATGTTTGTAAGAGCTCGGGCATGTCCATTTGGTTCCCATCTCTCCAGTGCCACCCCCGGCATCCAGGCCAGGTTCTGCTGTCACTGGGGAACGGTCTTAATTCACAGGAAATCGGAGAGAGTTTAATTGTTTTCTCCTCTCTCTCTCTCTCTTTTTTTTTTTCCCATGCAGCTGAACAAAAGGTTCATCCTCAGTTTTCTCCATGCCCATGGGAAGCTGTTTACCAGGATTGGGTAAGTGTGCAGGATGTTTATTTTATTTTCCTACATTACAAGTCTTTTTGGAATTTAATATTGTTAGCAACTAAGCTGTGTTTGGAGCTGAGGGCACAGGGTGTGAATTCTTGCAGGCCTAGCCTCCTGCTTCCTATTCTCCTTACCCGCCCTGCGCTCCGCGCTGGAGGTGCTTGGGGCTCTTTTTGCCCCCACCTCGTGTCCCGATCCCGCTCGTGCCCTGGGACCCTCTGGCAGCAGCTGAGCTTGGCCACTGTCATGTGCACAGGAGGGCCTCGAGGCCGTTTCCTCTCTCTCCCATGCCCTATCCACACTCCTTCCTCCCGACATTCCCTTTTTCCTTCTCCTCTCCCCTTGCCCCACTCGTAGCCTGCAGGGTGGTGGCTCTGGGGGTGCCTCGGTGGCTGCTGCCCACGAGGAGCACGAAGCCATCGGGACAAAACCATGCAGTGGCCAAGAGCCGCCGTGCGGAGCGTGTCCCGACGCGCCGTGCCCTGGGTGTCCGTGCTGCCATGTCGGCGAAAACCTCGGAGCCGAGAGCCGCCCTGGCTGCGGGAACTGCTCTGTGCAAAGCCCCCCTGGCAATGCCTGTCCTAAATTGGTTTCAAATAACTGAGGAGCTCTCCCTGAAGCTAAAGTGAGGCTGATTCAGGCCTGGGCTGTTGGCGCGAGGCCTCCCCCGGGTGCACACGCGGTCCGCGCTCCTGCTGCAGCCGCGGCGCTCCCTGCTCCACCTGCCCTTGTCCCGGGAGCAGCTCTGCTGGCCCCTTCCATCTCTTGTAGGATTTTCATGGCACAGGGAAGGGTTGAGACACCTATTCCAGCACACTTGGGCAAAAGCGGTGCAGACACCGAGTGACATCTTGTCCCAGCAACTGCTGGGCTCTTGTGACTCGGGCGTGCAGCTCCCTGCCTGGGTGAGGGCTCATCCTCCCTCGCTCCTTGCAGAGAAGGAGCCTGGCGGAGCGGGAGGCCGAGCAGCAGCCTAGGGTGCCAGCGAAAGCCTTGGCCCTTGCCATATTACACGGGCCAGGCAGGAGTGGCATTTGCTTCCCGTTGGGCCCTCCGTGGAGCAGTGGAAAGTAGGAGACGAGCCGGCCAACTTGTTGATGGTCTGGGCCTCCGAGGGAGCACGGCGGAGCGCGGCGCTCGCTGCCAGCGCCGCGCGCTCCGCCTGAGTCACAAGGCACCGATTATCTGATTGTGGGCAGCAGGCTGGCCCGGCGCGAGGACGCGGAACTGGATGTCCCCCTGCCAGCAGGGAGAAAGGGAGCGGGGCCGCCGCGAGCCCCGCGGGCTGCGCGAGGGAGGGCAGAGCACGCAGGGAGCTGCCGGGCCGCGCTCCGGCTTGGCCGCGGGCCAGCAAGGGGATTAATGGGGATGTTGCAGTGATTGCTTGCACATTTGGCTCCTGAGACTTTTGTGAAATTAAGATGCAGTTTTTGAGGCCGTTGCTTCCCAGGACAGTCATTTAGAAAAGCCGAGTATGTTTAATAGCAGAATATCCCCTGAAGTGCTTAGAAAGGAACTAGAAACTAATACCATGACACAGGAAGAGAAATCGTCCAGCCCTGCTAAACAACTTCCGTGCTTGAAATAGGTAAAGGGTGAGGAATAGTTTAGTCCACCTTGGGCAGGATCTCCAGACATTTATCTGTTTTGGGGGAAAAAAGACAGCGGGGAAAGGGCACGGAAGAGATGATGTTGTGCTAATTAGCCTCTTTGGCTCCTAACCCACAGGTAAGCAATTTATTAAAAGCTTCCGCCCGGCTCCTGACCTGCTGGTTTGGAGCTCAGTGGGGTTACCGCGCGCAGCACCAGATGTGCTGCCGCAGCAAAGCACAGCTGGCGGGGCGAGGACGCCTCGCTCCTCGCGCTGTTACTCCGTGGTGGTAACGTCCAGCTCCCGGCTAACAACGCGCCCAGCAAAGGGCTCCTCTCTCCCCGGCGTCCTCTTGGCCCTAGGAGGATGTTGCCGGGTGTGTTGGATGTGCTCTGAGATCTCACAAAATCCAGAAGTCTTCAGAAACCTTCAGTTTGCTCCAGTTCCCTGGTTGTGCCCCAGATCCAGGCGCGTTGCCTCTCCAAGGGGGAGCGGTGGTTTTGCACTAACACAGGCTCCGTTCTGCGCAGACCAGGGGAGTCTGTTCCCTACAGCCTGGGCACACAGGGTAACCCTGCTGCTGGGCAGGCCCTGTTGCTGAAAACCATCCATGAAATCAGGTTAAGAAGAAAGCCATTTCTGTCTTTAAAAATAGAGCCTCTTACTGCCCTGAAAGTCTGTTGGGGAAGCCCAGCAGAATTGCCCATGTGGGTTACCAGAAGTGGCTTTCTAATCCAGGCTGTAGCGTGCTGGTATCACAAGATCTGAATCCCTCGGGGGAGATAGAGGAAATTGCTATGGAGGCCCCTGAGGTTGGTGGCCCCGGCTCTGCGTGTCCTGCCCGCTGCAGGTTCTGGCCCTCCCCTGTTCGCGATGTCACCGAGCAGTGACGCTCTTGCTGGGTCTGGCTGTGGCTTTTTGAGGAGGGACACCACGAGCTCAGCAGGGGAGGCAGTGGGACAGGAGGACTTTGCTGTCACTAGGCTGCAGGTTTTTAACAGCTGCTTGGTTAAAAAGTTGCCTTCGTGGGACACAAGGAGAGGGATCTTTTGGCAGAGCTGTTGTGGGCAGCCTCATAAAAAAGGCAGTCATTTTCACCATTTAACCATGTTCTTCTTTGCAGCCGGTTCAGTTTTTGACCCCTCTTGGAAGATTGCTGAGGACGCAGCAGCGTCCTGAGGAGTAACCTCAGCTCATTCCCACAGGGATGCCATAAGAAGTGCGGGATAAACATTCCCATTTCCCGGGTTGCGCTGAGGGCTGTGGCGTTGACAGGTCACCCCGCGCGCGGCGGCGGCGCCGCGGAGCGATGGCAGCCGCAGCGTTGACACAAGCAGCAGCCAGGGGAGGCCGGGCACCAGTCTGCGCAGGACACGCACGTCCCTTTGCCACGGGCAACTCCGAGTGATGAGATTTGGGAGCCCAACCGCAGTGCCGGGGAATGCGTAGCCAGGGGGCTGGTGCTCTGAGTCCCCTCCTGCCGCGTGAGCCCGCGGGCCGCGCGCTGCCGCGGAGGAAACGCGCCAGGATTGCCACATCCGCAATGTGGCACCAGTGTGTGCAGTTTGCTACGGCCTGCCCTTCTTGGGAGTCCCATGGGCTGCGCCTGGTCCAAGCGAGCTGCTGGCCTCCTGGCACCCTTCCCAGATTGGTAGAAGTCAGTAGAAAAAAATGGTTGGTCAGAAATGACTCATAAAGGCCGTGTTTTCCTGCCAGAGGAATGCTGCGTGTCAGTGACAGCGCAATCCCTCACGGAGGAAGGCTTCAGCCGTCTCCCTCGCGCCGCCTGCACCTTCGCTCCCGAGGCGGCGGCTTCCCGCGGCTCCGGGATGGGCGGCAGCGACCGCGGCGCCGCG